GATCTACATTGTCACTTTCTCACTAACTCTCTCTCTGCCTGTACTGTACCTGACTTTGTTTCAACCTCTATTCAACGCTGGTACTGTACCTGACTTTGTTTCAACGTCTATTCAACGCATTAACTAGAATCCAATTGTATATATATGCGTGTATTTATGTATGAATCTAGTCATATACTGCACACATCTAGGCCTATATATCATTTGGTAGAGAGTGAGCAGGTCGGTATATCATCAACGGGTTATTTACTAAACTCTACCTCAGCAGACGACATACGTACGTGATCCATGTCTCATCAAAAATTGGAATAATTTCGCAACTAAACTAGGTTAGGATTTATCAACGTCAAAATATTAGTTTGATTAATTTGACGTTATAGTTTGACCAATTATTTTTTATAATTAATTACCCGTCACCCAACCATTGACAACAAGGAGTCGCGGGAAAAACATTAAATCAAAATCATGAAAATATGAAGATGAATTGATAATTTTTTGTGGTAACTTTTATACAGAGACTTATACAATTATTGAATTAAATCACAAAACGCAAAACAATATTGACTGACTGGTGAGCTTAGTAACATTCATAGAGCATCTTCGAAAGGTTGCGTATCCCCATGATGTCATAAATTGAACTAGTTTCAAATTTATCCACGTGAACGTGATAGTTTGACGTTGTAGTTTACTTAATTATCTTTTCAATTAATTACTCCTAATATTATCAGGAACCATTTAGAACGAGGAACCATTTAGAACGAGGTGACGTGAGAATAAAGATTAACAGAAATCATCAAATTAAGAAGCTAACAATTTTTGGCTGAGACTTAAATACGGATACGTGTATAATTGATAGTGTATAACAGTGAACTGAACATCATTGGTATAGCATCTTCGAAAAGTTACATTTCTCAATAATGTAAGTTCTCGTCCGAATTCGATTAGTTTTAATTTTGAAACTTGCAACAATAACAAATAGATTGGCCAAGGGGAAAACTGCATGTATACATTTTCACGTGACTTATGATAATCATGTGATCGACACGTAGTGGTGATTGGCTGGGACTCGCGATTTGACGCCGACCAGCGCGTAGAAATAGAACAGTTTCTATTCCTGCGATTGCAGTCGGCGACCGCTAATTTCGATCGTAAGCGGTCGCAAGAGAACTCATGTCGAGTTTAGTCGCCGATGTTTTTATCGGCGATCTGGCCGGTTTTGGTCATACGATCTTCAAATTTTGTCGGCGACCAGATCGTAAGGGCGACCTGAGTGTGGCTTTACTATAAAATCTAAAAGTAATGTGAAACGCGTGAATACCGAGTTCACACATGCCTGGTATCTGCAAAATGGATAATTATTGCTTCATAATTAGGATGAAGTATGCACAAGAACGCACCCGTACATACTCGCGTACGCACAAACGTGCGCGCGGGCGTAACGCAGTGTGTGTGTACATATACGAGCGTACGTGCGTAGGAGTGTGCATACTGAACGCGTTCCTGCGTGAATTCTCACAAGGGAGCTTTATTTAACCATTTTCTATACTTTGATCACAATCTCTTTACTGACTATTGGATTAAATTTTAAACGAAAAAAACAACAACGAAAAAAGAGCAGCAACGAGTGCGTGTCTGTAATGATGCACAAAAGTCTGGGGAAATTTTTTATTTAGAACTTTAATTAAATTTTACAAATCGTTTTACCTACAGGTGGCGCCCTACATCATACATGACGCAGGTGGCGATGTACACCAGGGCGAGCTACGTACGTTCCGGCGCGGGTCAGACAACGAGGTGCCCGCGCGGCCGCGGGGTACCGAGCGCGCCTCCAAGACTCGCTCGATGTTCGTCGACACACGCCTCGGCGTCTGGGAGGAGGAGCCGGTGAAGCTGCTGCTCGGCACGACGCCAGGCGACGTGTCGCCTTCCAGCAAGGCCTGGTGCCCGCAGGATTACTCCGAGGTGAGCGAGCAAGAGCGAGCAGACAGATGCACGCTCACATGCGGACGTATCCCGGGGAAGGCATAGAGAAATGCACACTCACGTGCGGGCCTATCCAGGGAAAGGCATAGAGAAATGCACACCCACGTACGGGCCTATCCCGGGGAAGACATAGAGAAATGCACACCCACGTACGGGCCTATCCCGGGGAAGGCATAGAGAAATGCACACCCACGTACGG